AATTGTCTGTGGAGCCTTCCCCAAGGCTGTAAAGGCAGCTTGTTTTAGATCTCCTGATGATTTCACAGAACATTTAACTTTACACCTCTCATTTGTTACCTCTTCAGGGTATTTACAAATATCCATTACCAGGTTTCCAAGGAATGTAGCAACCTTTAACCTCCACTAGCTTTTATGTATGCATAAATTACCCTGGGGATAAATGTGACACTGCATTTGGGGATAGTGGCAAGATGTTTATGTGCAAGCTTAGGCAAAAAGATGACCTTTAAAACTGAGAAGTGACAAAAATTACCAGATTTTGGAATTACAAATGCAATAATATATCATCTCTGTACCACTTCAATTGCCTGATAAATTTTACATCCCCCCAGAATGAAGCAGCAGCAGTTAGAAAGGATGCCGCCTCGGGTCATGCTGCACTCAAAAGTTTTTTTATGCCATGACAATACATTAATTTCATGAATCAACAGGCTACGACTGGCAGTTTGTGTCAAGCTAAACAGTGTTTAATTGGATTCTGATTTATGGCAACACCACTGGGGGCTTGTTTTTATTTCAGCAGCACCTGAAGCATAATGGTGGTGATTACGTCCCTCCTGCGGTGTCCCAGTGGTTCACCCCTCGGAGGCCCCTGAGAATATCCTGCTGACAGTCATGGCCCATGCTGTCCTGTTTGGCTGCTGGCACATCCTGAGCTGCCGCTGCTGCTAGGACTTTATGTTACAGCTCTGCTGAGACAAAGGAAATTATATTACAAACCAAATTAATTGTTTTCTGCACAACTCCGGCACAGTCAAGAAATGACATACTAAGAAAGGCTTCTATATATGGAGGCAAAATATTGAAACTCTAAAACTAAATTACAAAATTCTCCTCAGAGAAAACTTTTATGAAACACAATAAATTCACTTTTGACAAAAATCAGCCAACCATAGTGGATATTAACATTTATTCTATTTGATTCCAGGGGGTTATGTAAAGACAAGAACAGGGGTAAGAACAGGGCTAATTTAAAGCCACTGCGATTCCAAACAAACCCACAACATAAGCCGGTCCTAACTGCTCTTTGCCCTTCCCATCACATACTCACCTGGAAAATGGAGACTCCTACATCAGGATACTCTTCATTGACTACAGCTCCACCTTCAACACAGTTGTCTCCAACAAACTCACCCACAAACTGTCCACACTAGGTCTGTACCCCACCTGTTGTGACTGGCTCCTGGACTTTCTGACTGGCAGGCCCCAGGCTGTCAGGACTGGCAATAGGACTTCAGCCAGCCTCACTTGGATACTTAACACCACACAGCTGGTCAAGAAGGCCCAACGGCAGCTGTACTTCCTGAGGAGGCTGAGGAGGTTTGGCATGTCACTTAGGATCCTTTGCACTTGCCTGAACAACTACAGGCCAGTGGCACTCACCCCAATTATTATGAAGCGTTTTGAGAGAGTGGTGCTGGCCCGCATTAAGATCAGTATACCGGACACCCTAGACCCCCTGCAGTATGCCTACCGGCCCAACAGGGCCACCGCAGACGCCATCGCGGCTCCTACATCAGGGTACTCTTCATTGACTATAGCTCCGCCTTCAACACAGTTGTCCCCCACAAACTCACCCACACTAGGTCTGTACCCCACCCTCTGTGACTGGCTCCTGGACTTTCTGACTGGAAGGCCCCAGACTGTCAGGATTGGCAATAGGACTTCAGCCAGCATTATCACAAACATCAGCACCCCACCGAGATGTGTCCTCAGTCCCATCCTCTGCACCCTGTTCACCCACGACTGCGTTGCCTCCCACAAAGACAACAGAA